GAGCTAGACAGGGTGCTGTCACAAGGAAATATGACTTGAGCGTGATGATAAATTTTATGCCCGTATTAACTCAAAGAAACAGAATGCAAAGAAATAAACAACAACAAACAGATTGCAAAAAAAAAAAAAAAAAAAAAAACTATGCTTGAACAGATGTTTTGAAATAGATTTCGGGTTTGTATTCTCTTTCAATATGTACTTTTTTTTAATAGACCAAGGGTGTCCAAAGTGCAGCCAGGTGGCCATTTATGGTTCCTGGACTGATTTCGTGCGAACTCCAAGCAAAATTCAACAGTGGTATTAGATTTTTGCCTGCCAGCACAGGTGGCTGCTATAAATGGAGTTAAAAAAAATAATTTGTAATGACCAATTGAAATCTCCCAAAAATGGTAGAACTCAAATTCATCTTTTTGTGACCCTGTATTTTTTTTATTCTTTTTAATTTAATAGTAAATAAGACCAGCAAATCCAGCGACTTCTACTCGAAAGGAGACCAAACTGATAGTCACACATGGTAAAACAGGCTGAAGAAAAAAAACATTCACATGAGGAGCTGGCAAACTGTTGGTAACTCGGGAGGAGCTGCAGAGATCCACTGCTTTGAGAAATATGACCTTCGTGGAAAAGTGGTAAGGAGAGAGCTGCTGTTCACACAAAGTGATAAAAATTCCTATTGGCAGTTTGCCTCGGGTCATGCAGGGGATAACGCAATGTGTGTATGAAGATGCTTTGGTTTAGATGACATAAAAATGCAACTCCTCTGCCTGAATACAAACACCACATCTGGTTGAAAACCAGTGCTGCTCATCATCATGAGCTTCCCCTTCCGCGTGTGGTGGGGCATCGTGGCATCCGGTGTGCATTTCTTCACGGAAACCGGTGAGTTGAGTTGTTTCCACAAAGTATTTACTCGGAAACTGAATCGAAATGGCTTCTTGGATTTTGAACTTGGCATCCTTTTGAAAACTATGAACTATTTTTACAGACTACTTTGTATTGGTAACACGACACCCGAGTAAAATGCAGCGCAGGAAGTCCGTACTTAACGAAGTGACAAAACGTGAATAAGTTCAAGGGGTATGAAAACTTTTACACGGTGCCGCAATTTTAAACCGTCGGTCCCAGTGCAGTCATTTAGCTCCCGGGCTACCGGCAAGAAAGACCCTTTTCATTAAAAATGAACACTAATGACATCAAAATTGGTCTCGTTCAGAATCTCCCAAAGCGCCGTAAGAATTTCCGGTTATCCTCGTGAACCAGGGTAAGTTTAATGTGCGTAATAAAGAGCAAAATGAGTGAAAGGTTTGTCTTTTGGGAGCAGTTAAAAAAAAGACAAAAACCCAGCAACTCCAGGACACTGCAGACTTGAGACGCAGCTGGTTTCAGGTACAAGTGTGAAGCGAACTGCATTAATTATGGAGCCACTATTTGGTCAACATGTAAAACGGGAATTACAGTAAATTTACAGGTCGTTGCCAACTGATGCTGTGGTGCTAGCTTCTTTGTTGTGACATTCTATCACGCGCTCACATGTTCGGATGGAAAAAAAAGTGTATTCAAAATGTGATTACAAAAAAATCTGCTGTGGAAACAATCACACACACACAAGTATAAACTTAAGAAAACAGAGTAATGGCAAAATTTTATTATGAATATACCTCATTTGACATCAACTTTTCTCTCCCGGGATGTTCAATTTGTTCATTTACCCCTCGCCCCCCATTTGATTTACATGTTCTTTTTCGAAACAATCAACCTCCACAACTTAAGTACTGTTGCCGGAGACTCTTTGTCCACCAAGAGTGCCAAAGCTGAGTCACACAGGGAGTGACTTGATGGGTCCATCCATCAAGAATATTCTCTAAGAATAAAATGGCACAATAGACATTGATAAAAAAAACTAAAAAAAAAACTCAGAAAGCAAACAAAACGATCCACAAAGCAGTCGTCAAAATTCCAGAAGGAAAAAGGCAAACCCACATGATCTGTATAGAGAGCACCAACAGAATCAGATACATTTTATACCACACTGAGTTTATATTGTTCCTGAGGTGACGGCATCTGATTTTAGCTAAACTAATTTAATAAATACATCGTTTTCCTGCCAAAAATGACTTGACAAACCATGCCAGCATTCTTAGCCCAATACCTACAACTTGTACGCACTTTATTTTAAATGTACTGAATGTGTCGTTTATTATTCCTACATGGAAGAATATAAATTGACAATTTTTTTTAAATATAGAATTTGTTTGGATAGTATTTAATCAAACACAGTCTGTTATATGTGGAAGTGTTTTGGAGGCAAGTTGACAAGAGCCTGTGGTTTCACGGTAGTTGGGAATAAGATGAACATCAAAAACATGTCAAGGTCAAATATCAGCGTTCGAATGATACTTTGTCATATTAGGGTCTGATTAAGACATTAAATTATCTATAACAGAGTTCCTGTCCAAACTCCTCATATTTGTTTAAATTTTAAGTTAATGGTGTAGCTCAAATTTGTGCAATTCCTTAAAATTCTAGCATATTTTTGCACGTGGTTTTGATTTGTGCAGCTTCCAGCGTCTGTGTCAGATGCTGCTCCTCAGAAGACGCTTTTACAGAGAGCAGTCAAAACACAAGTCATTGTTTTTTATTTTTAAATGTTCAAAGAAAGGCTCCAAGCAGGAGAGCAAGCTTTTTTAATTCTATCTGCACACGATTAACTACAACAGCACTAGAACGTTTTGATATTTTAGTCATATCAAAACATGAAAAAAACATGCTAACATTAATGTAGCATTTCAGCAAACTACTCCACATGCACGTAGAGATAGACATCGAGAATTAAGAGGTTCTTCTCAGAGACGTATCTCGTCACGTCAAAGGAAACAGAGGAAACTGAATTGTCCAGAACATAGGGAGTAATTTCATTTGGACAATCACAGCACTAATCAATACAGGCTTATTGGGATGACATGAAGTGTCACTTTACGAAGCAGGGCTTAATTAAACTGTGTGCACGTTTAATTGCATAAAGTAAGACTTATCAGCAAATATCTACACTACACATAACTTGAAAATTACATTTTTGAGAATAAAGTAAATCCTGTCAAGAGACGTCTGTAATCTGCAATGTCTCTGTCTACTTGTAGTAAATTTGAGGGATTAACACAACACTAGAAAGCTTGTTTTAGTGTCATTTGGTGTATTAGTGGCATGGGCAAATGGGGGAGATAAGAGCAGGTTTACATGATAAAGCGCAAAACTTTCAGTCTATATGATATTCAGACTAATTAAAAATACACTTTAAGGCAAGACTGAGTACACACTGGTACTGGCACTATGACATCTTTGGTAGAAAGGAGGTAGTCTTTAATAGACAGCTGTATGTAAAGCCAGGATACTTAAGAAAATCAAGAAAGGTGATTCTTATCTGAGTGGGTAGAAAATATAATTCTATACAGCATTTACTGGAGAGTGTAGCAATGTAATAGAAAACAAACATGTCCAGAAGGTATGATTCTGCTGATTTTGTGTCAATATCGCATAAATAGGCTGTAATAGGAGGTGGTAGAAGTGGTTGAGAAGTCCGAAGGAGTTGTCAGGAAATATTTACAGCTAAATATGAACTGTAATATTAAATATTAACTGTAATATTTATTACAAGGCAAAACATAAAAAAAAAGTTTCCAGTCTTCCATAGCCTTTTAGAAAAGAACCAAAGCAAAATTAAACCTTTTTTAATCTGCACCGCTATTGTTTTCAACACAGCCATGAAAAGACAAAACTCCCTGTAGCTTGACAGCTAGTTGATTAGCTAGTTGCTAGCTAAAAAACAAAACAAAAAAACTGTACAACGTTAAGTTAATTTAAAAAGAGCAACATAGCAAACTATTACATAAAAGCAAAGTAGCAGTTTAGCTTTTATGCTAGTTTTTTTTTTTAATGGTATAGTTAAGCATGTTCTCCATTGCAGATTAGCATGTTAGCCAGAGCATGTAAACAAGTTAGCACTGAAATAGTGCTTCTACCAGAACTTTAAACTTCATAGTGATGCTAAAAACTAGTCATATGGTATCATGAAGTTTTTGTCTGAGGGTTTCACTTGTAATGGAGGGAAACCCATCAGCGCTTACCCAAGTTTAAGAAATAAATCACAGGAAAACCCTTAGATAGCTACCATTTTATATCTGAGAAACGATTGCTCAATTTCTAGTTTGTAGAAAATGGGCTAAACCACTGGTATGGTGCATCAATCATGGAAGGCATCAGTCAGTTTGAACAGTGCATCTAAACGTCATTAGTCAGGATTTTTTTTTGTATGCAGTAAAGCCAAATGCTGTTTCCTCAACAGGAGGGCAGTATTAGCTGATCATACCTTGTTATACAGTGGATAAATGCTCGACAACAACGATATAATGCTTTTCCAAGGCTACACATTTTAAAACAGCAAAGCACACCGGATTTCATCAGCCATCTCCATGCAGCACAGGGATATAATTTCAGATACTTGAGTCGTGCCTCAGTAACATTGCATAAAAGCTATATCATAACAGGTTCTCCACAAGAGAATACAAGTTCAACTATATGGCACTTCCTGATAGTTGAAGAGGTGAATAGATACAATTGTAACCACACTGCTGTTGTTAGAAGGCTAAAGTTACAGAAAATGCCTTCAGGATCAAAAGTGCACCTCAAACAGCCTTTAAAGTGGATGATTATACGAGTTTTGGTTTTATGATAATGCCAAAAACTCACTCATCTGCCGCCAACAAAACGTTTGTCACACAGAAATGAAATCCTTGCTTATGAAGTTTTGACTGAAAATCAAAAGATGCTCATGATTAATTATGAAACAAAGCAAATTGTCTAACTTTTTTTTTTTTTTTAGATCAGCACATAAAAATGATTACTGCACACATGCAACAGAACATAAACTTATACTTGCACACCGATACCCTGGCTTTGTTTCAAGTGCATGACAAACCGTTGTTTTTTTTTAGTTTTTTTTCCCCCCAGAGTGGATATTTTACAACGTAATCAGATTCCGTTTCTAACAGAATATCTGATGTAAAATGTCAACAGGAGGGATCATTTTCAAATGTAACCACACTGGTTACAGTTATTTTATATGCATCAGTTTCGCAGGGACATCAACAAATTCCTGATTCTCAAACTGCAAGTAAAGCAATGGATAAGTATCAAGTGAAGTTTTTTTCTTTTTTCTTTAAAAAGAACGCCTTCATGCGGAGAATTTAACGCTTGGTTATGATGCATGACTTCCAGCCTGTTTGGGGCATATTCCACAAATCCTCCCGATGTTACAAATAGATAAATTGGCAACCAAAAACAAATCATTTCCGACACGCTTAGACTTGTGGGAGGCCCAGATTTCCAATGTGGCTCTCAAAGGCCGACACTTGATTTGTTTCCACTCGAGAAGCTGGCAGATTTGTTTTGCTTGGAAGCAGCTTTTTGATCAATTAGTGCATTCATGAAATTAATCAATTCTTCTAAAAAGAAAATAAGATCATGCTTCTGTCTACTTTTACAGTGACCTCAATCAAACATTTGTTTTTAAATATATGGTTGTATTTTGCATATACTTGGTGTCTGGAAAATGTATTCATAAGCCTTGAATTTTGCCACATTTCGTCACAGTGCAAATCACAAACATCTATGTATCCGATTGTGAATTTATTTGACGTGCCACTGTAAAGTAGCGTACAGATGAGGTGGAAGGAAGCAGAAACAAAACGTTTCTTCACAAAACTAAATGTATCGGCTTAAGTATTCAGAACACTAATGCGATATCTGTAGGTGAGAACCAAAGTTCGAGGCGTACAAGAAATTTGACAGGGCATGTAACAAATGTAAGGACAAGGCACAAAAAAACTAAAATATCCTAAACAGCAGCAGCTCGTTTTTGAAAAAAAAAAAACACAAAAAAAAAAAAAACAAAACGAAAGGAGCAATCAAAAGGATTAAGAATGCTGATGTATTGTAGGCAATTTAAAGAAACAGAAACAGCATGCAACTAAAAGCAACAAGCAAATTATTAGAATACTCAATTTAATCTGTTAAACGGACCAATTGCTAAACTCCTGACAAACCTAAATTAAAACATGGTTCATTAAGTGGTAACTATGTTAATAATCAATGTGAACTTACTTTGCCTTTCTTAAAAAAAAAACATTTTCTGGACGGTTGGAAGTGTTGCTCTATTTCTGAATGCAGAACTCTTGCTACCGCTGAGAAACATTTGCAACTTCCAAACATTAAAAAAAAGAACCCAGAACAATTTAAGACTTCTTTTTTTTTTCTGTCCTCCATTGAATTTCCAGGGAGGGATCAGTTTTGGAAACGGGGCTGTTAAATAACTGGAGACCAAATGCACTTGAATTTAAATTCAGACAGTAAAATTATACAATGACAGCAAAAAATAAATAAATGTACCCCTCATGACCACAGAAAATGTCGCTTACACCTCATTCAGATTCTTTAATGCATCAACCCTGTACAGACACTTCACTCAAATAACCAACAGTACACTCCATTTAGCAGCTACAGTCTACAGAGGGTTTGTCAGAGTCACGCAGTCCACATGGCACTAGACATTTTGTCCACTGAGCCTCAGAGGACACAAGCCGGATGTCTCCTGATTGGTTTAATGTGCGCAATGGCAACAAAGATTACCCTGGAACAATCCTAAAAACAAAGCAAAAACCAAGGCAGAAAATTCAAACGCGTAACTCCAGAGCTAATTTCAAAAATTAACTCGAACGTTAAAACTCCACACCCATAAACAAGCGCTCTCTGCGGCAGTAGAAGAGTTGGCTTCTGTGAATGAATGTCGCTAAGGATATGGTTTCCGCTCGGGAGACGGGTTATGCCAGCAAAAGAACGTCGGACTGTAAGAGACACCGTGAAAATGTGGGTTTCTCTTTAAGTATCTCTAGGACAATAATAATAAAAAATATATGTACGACTTTGCTTCTACTGTAGAAAGTTGAAAACCAGAATAAAAACTAAGTACTGCAAGTAATTTCTTAACGTTTATTCTCTCTAAGGGTAATATTCTTCTCGGCATCTTTAATAGTCAAGCCACTCCACTCACGATGTATGCCAACAGTTATGCCACTGAACCAATGCTTGAAACGATCTCTTTCAGAGACAAACAGATTGTGTTTTGAAAATTGGCGATCACGATGAATCTCTTCATTTCTCAGGAGAAGAAACGAGAGTCATAGTTGACGTCCAATCCCTTTACCCTTTGTCCTCTGGTAAATGTTTTCGTCCACATCACCCAAATGAAGACACTTTGAGAACACCCTGAAAACAAAATAACTTCAGTCTCTTCTTCTTTTTATTTATTTATTCTTTTTTTTGTGTTTGTTTCGAGCGGCTGTTTGCTTTGGGTGGCAGCTCTGGATGCTGGTAGCCATGTTGTTGTTGATCTGGAGGGAGGCTAGAGATCATGTTTTTCTGAGGTCATGATGGGATGGCATGGTGCCTCGAATCAGTCACAGCCCAGAGCGACACCACCTGAATGACCACCATCAGCCAAAGCGAGGGGGTCAGGCCGGACACCCCGCCACAGTCTGGGTCCTCCTCCTGGGAGGAAGAAGAAGAAAAAAAATTTTATAACGTTATAAAATAACTGTTTAAACTTGTTGTGTTGAATCACACTTTCAAGCTATTGCTGTACAGTGAAGGAGTGGTAACTATAACTTGGAGTGGATGAACTCAAATTCCAACATTGTAGCCAGTAAACGGTAAATCTGCAGCTGTAAAGCTAAACTGAATATATAATGTGGAGAATCGTCACTATATATATATATATATATA